TAGAGACGCTGGCCTTTTACAATCAAATGTAATTATTTTTGCAATATACACCTTCAGCTGCTTTTGCTGCAGCAGCAACAAGTTGCTTAGCATACTTCCGTTTGAGCCACAAAAGGCCGCGCCCGAGAACCTGGAGCCTGCAGCCTGGAATCGTCTCTGAACTTGGCCATATAACTCGGACCGGGCCAAAGGGGGAATCGGGATCGCGTGATCAAAGTCAATTTAGCTGCGATATACAGACACATTTGTTTTGCTGTTGCTGCTGCTGGTGCCACAGCCACTTCTGTTGCACGTAGGCCGGCCCAACGATCCTGTCGTCATCTGCTGCTGCTGCCGCTGGTGCAGCTAAATTAAACCATTGCCGCCTTATCGTTGCCGGCTAACAGAGGCGCCTAAAAGGGCCACAGAAATGGGGATGGGGCGGCAGAAAATAAAAATAAATACAAAACGGGTTTAAACACGAAATGGCGTTAGCCTGGTCACACTGTTTAATGAGGCATTTTTCTAGGGTTTCTAAATTTATAGCTTTATAAATTCAAGTTTATCCTAATTGGGCTTGCAATTTCATTGGTATCAACAGGGCAAAAAAATGATAACGGGCTTAAGACTAAAACTAAACTGCTAAAATCATATTATTGCATTAAACTTTCGATTGGTCACACTATTTAGTTCCGTTACCTGGTCACACTCTTTAATGTGGCACTTCCTCTCTCCGTTTTCTATTCTTGGCTTTGGCAAATGTTTATCATAATTAGGCACACGATTTGCTGCTTAATCGCTGCATTAACATAAATAGCAGAAAAGAGCTGAAAACGAAATGAAACGTAGGAACTCGCAAACTAAAACAGAAAACCAAAAAAAATCGCCACAAGCGAAATGTCTTCAGAAAAAATGGTTTCTTTGACCAAACTAAAGATCCCTGGCTCATTTCATGCTAATTATATATGGCCGGGGTAAAATGAATGGCTGGAACGCCCGCCATTTTAGCCTAGACTATAGAGAAGCGCGCTTTGGCTTCATTTGGAGTCGGAAATTATTTAATTTTAACCTCTGGGGGCCAGCAATCATCATTAAGCACGAGCTCCGAATGCCGCGTATTTGTTTTTTCTCTCCCATTTCAGTTATGTATTTTTATTTTCTGTCTTTTACTTAACGTAGGGGTTTTGGGCAAAAGGTTTTGGGTCAGCGCCAAGGGGGCAAACCTCCGAGTCCGCCCACTCCACCTTCTCCACATCCGTTCGTCCGGCCCTCTCCAGTTCGTTTATCAGTCAAAAGCGATCTTTGCAATTAGCCTTAAACGCTTTTTGGCTCAACACGAAGCCCCGAAAACATCGCAGACCCTCGAATACCCCCGAAAATCCCGAAAAAACCCTCAACTGGGTCACAGGTCCAGCCTGTCTCATCCTCCGTCCGTCACATTATCAGAACGAAATTATCGTATATCAACCTTCGGCCGTCGAGAACTGCAGCGCCTGCATATTTATTTTTAATCATCTTTGTGAAAGCAGGTGAAATTTTTGGCATTTATGAAAGTGCAGCAGCGTGACTCGGTTCGGTTCGGTTTCGTATAAAAATTAATATAGATTGCAAGTGGGGATACGCAGCGGTAACAGCAAAGCAGCCAGAGCAACAAGTTGAAAGTTTCTGAGCGTTTTGCGGCACATTTTCCCGTTTCTTTTTCGCTTTGTGTAAAATTTATTATGCCAAAGGCCGATCATTATCGGGTAGCCAAATTATATATGCGCGCGCGCACATGATGCGCATTAAGGGTTCCCAGTTCCCAGTCCCCAGCTACCCGATCCCGATCCCCGATCCCCACATCGATCTACTCGATCTGCGCGATCCTCGCAGGGATCTCACTTTCTGGCCCGGCTAACCGCAGGCTCGGCTCTCTGGGGCCAAAACTATAAAATGTCGCAGACTATAAATCCACTTGGAGCAATAAATTTCTCAAAATGTCAGCGCAGGCTCCCGCATTAATTACAGACTCCGTTCGAGTTCGATGTTGCTGCTGCTGCTGCTGGAGCAACAGCAACACATATCGCCATGTTGCTGGCACGCCAGCAACACCCGCATCTGGGGTCCGCTGCTCCGGTAATGTGAGCCGTTCCAAGGCATGTAATCAATAGTTGTAACCACCAAAAGTGCACCAGCACCACGACCAACACCACTGCACCACTGAACCACCAATATCTTGAAGTTTTCTGTTTTCTGACTTTCTGAGTGCTGTTTGTGACCGCAAAGGCAAGTGCAAAGCATTCAATTTTTGCCCCGTTGACTGCAACAAGTTCTTTCAATTTGCGTTGCCAGGTGGAGTCGACAACAACAACAACAACTAAAATAAAAATAATAACAACAACAACCAGCAACAACAACAATTGTAAACCTGCGCGTGTTTTGGCTCGCATTTTGATTGCCTACAAGCCGTTGCTGTCACTTTGCATTATACGCGAGTCCAAGAGTCCAGAAGGGGGGTGTTTTAAGAGCGGGATTGAGGGGTTTTCCAGGGGGCTTTAAGGGGACCCGAGGGTCGGAAGGCCTTTCGACGAGCGTCAGACGTTGGAAAACGCGCGCAAGAATTGTGTAAAACGTACTTAAAGCATAGCAAATGAAATAAAGTGTTTAGATCGATATCGAAAGGAAATAAAAAGAGAATGGGTAATACCATTTGATCTACATAGGGAATCTAGTATTAATACCCAAATAAAAATATTTGTAGAGTATTTAAGATACGCTTAATAAAATCCTAAAATGGAAAATTAGGTTTGTGATTTTATGCTTTAATTAATCAATTGTTTTTAAGATAATTCCCTTCACTTTATCATATTATACTTCCTTTTAAATCGAACAAAAAAGCAAACTCCAATGAAATATTTCCCTTACAAAGTGCAGGCTTTTGGGGGCCATTTAAAATAATCTTTGTTGTCACAGAAAACCTCAAACAGAAGAAAACTCAACGGTGACCTTAAGCTTCCTTGGCCATTTTTCTATTCAGCCAGCTCCACGGGGAGGCCCTTGGAAGTCATTAATTTCCAGTGTCCAATCACAGTTTCAGGCTTTGATTTTCTTTTTGGGGCTTGGGGTTTCGGGGTTTTTGGGGGAAAGGGAACCTGGCGCGATTAAAGCGCAATTATGCTGTGTTTGATATGTTAATTTCGCTGGACCGCTTGAAAGAACACACAATTATGCTACGGCTAATTTATGCAGCTCGTGTGAGAGATCGATTGATCGATGGTGGGACTCATCACCGGCAGGTGTTAATTGATTTCAGTCGCTTGTAATTCGACTCGTTTGTTTATGGGCCCCGCATCCGTATATCGTATGTATTTACCGTTTGCGTACCGTTTTCCGAACCGCACTGAATCCGAATCTCAACTCAATTATGGGGATATTGTGGAGATGTGCTGATGTGATGGTGACAAATTTCGGGTGCACAAATAAGACCAAACTGAAAGCCAAAAACCGAAAGACTGCGGCGTTGTTCAATGGGCGCTCGAATGAATGGAACTGCGCCTCCGCTGCGTGCTGCTGCGGCTTTTCTCTCGGCTTTTTGTTAATTAAGCTGTATTTCATGCAGCTGACGGATTTATGAATAAAGCGCCACCGCCGACCAGACTTAAAAATCAAAACCGAAAACGCTTCGAAAAAATCGAGAAAAGCTGGCAAAAAAAATGAGACGGGAAAAAGTCGGGCGAATGCAAAATGTGATGACACCCAGAACAAAAAATCCATCAGAACGCGGGGCGTGTCGAAAGAAATCTCTTTCGCTAGTCGATGGATTACTTGGCCAGCATCGACGGATTTTGGAACATTCGGACATGTGGAACGCTTTTCTGGCCTTAATCGCCACTGGCCAGGCCAAATCGCAAAGGTCGCCACTTCTGCTGCCGGCCAATTGAGCTGTTGTTGTGCGCTTGTCGTTGACGTCATGTTAATTTTTTGTGTGTTGCCAACAAATGGCGATTTTTATGGTCAGGCTGCCAGCTTTTGGAGGCAGCATCGAAATCAGCAGCGGCAGCAGCTTCAGGGGGCAGCCTCGCAAAACTCGCGACTTGCGACTGTCGCGAGCAATTAATCTTCAAAAGTGGCCAGGTCCAGCTGCACTGGCTCGAATCGTTTTATTTATTTTTTTATTTCATGTTTTTTCGGTCGAACTCGAATACGAGACGAAACTTGGCAATCTGTCTAGAGTGCTCAGCTTCAGTCGCTTTCAATGGCAACCGGCGATTCCTTTGGCGGGGAAGGTCGCTGAGACGACGCCCCCGCCAGTGGTGCACCTGCGAAGCGATATTTCAAGTCACTCACGAAGGAGTCGCTGAAACTCAGAAGGGGGTGCGATAGTTCATGGGATTTGGATGCTAAAAATATCTATCACAAAGCAAAAAAATTGCTTTAATCTAACTACGTTTTTAATGATTTTTATTTTAATTAGAAATATTCTAAATATTTTAGGTGTCTTTATAAAACGTGGAATTTTAATGCAAGAGATATCATGTCAAATATTTCTTCTGGTATTTTAATATGTATTTATTACTTTAGTATTTATATTTTAGATATTTATATTTATTTTTTGATTTATTTTTTAAAATTAATTTTTGAAAATATAATGCAGGTTTTATTTTTGGGTAATTTTTCATATTCCAATATTTTTTATAACACCTTTACAAGTTTTAGAAATAATGCCACCTCTGATTTTGGCAAAATGCAAGATTACCAAGAGACGACACTGGCTTGTGGCAAAGTTGGACAGCCTCAGCCGCACATGATCGATCTGAAGGGGATCTACAGCCCCTCCCCCTGCCGCTACCCTGCCCCTCCCACACCCCCGCCCCTGGCCTGTCCTCGTCGCACGCATTAAATTCGAAATGCGTTTCAGCTTTTTGCGAAGGTTGCCTGGCCAGGTGGAGTTGCGATCGCAAAATAAAGCAGCCAGCAGGCCAGGGTTGTCATTCAGAGCCAAAAAAGCAAAATAAGGCACCAGTTGCAGCTGGTGGACTTACCTCTTTGATTTAGATGCTGGCCGAGTCCGATTGCTGCAGATCTGGCATAGTCTGCAAGAAAATAGAAGAGAAGAGCGGTTAGAGATTTGAGATTTTTTGGCGATGATGCAGCCACATGACAAATTGTGGCAGCTCGCTGGCGGAGCGGATTTTTCAGCTGCTAATTGCTGCGGTAATTAAAGCAGAACACAGCCGAGCGCGGAGATCATTAATCAAGCTGGAAATAGTTGGCAGGTTGGACAAAACTCTCGGTCTCCGCGAACTCATAAATATTTAATGGCCTAGGCAAATACCGATCGAAAGCCAATGGTTCTCAGACTGCTTGGCTGCCTGGCAGCTTGGATTTAATGAACATTTTAGCCAACTTTTAGTGGAGATCCCGATCGAGGGGGTTTCCCCCGCTGCACCGCCGCCCGAAAGACATTGATTGATTGAAGTGTTTTAATATTAGTTACAAAATTAGCCCCCCGACAAAGAGCGGTTACCACCCACAAATGCGGCCAAATTAAGGGGGCGTGTCCCGGGGCCACCGAAAAAAAAGAGGTAAGGTAAGAGATATCAAATAAAAGCAGCCGCCGCCTGATTGGCAATCGAAGGCAATCCCCACGGCAGCTGATTGATGGGGAAAAGCGTTTAGAATTGCCTTCGATAAATTATAATTTATTTATTTTTGTTCATTAATACGGTAGCGATAAAAACAAACAAATGTCAGGCTGCAATTGCGGCTACTGCCTTTTTTGGATCCGACAATTGCGGCTATTATTTGCTAATTATTTAAGCAATTTAAGCCATTTATAACAAGAAATGTCAACATGATTTGCATTGTAGCGGGGGGGTTTTACTTTGTGCGGGTGCTTTGTTTTGGCGGCTAATTGGCATGTTGCTGGCGTAGCTGCGACATGTTGCTCCTGGCCACCTGTTGCAATTAGGCATGCAACACGGCATGTTGCGGTCGCATGTGGCAGTGGCATATGACCAGCAGCAATGTGACCAGTTTTCGGTTTTCCACATCCAGCAGCAGCTGGGCGACCTTAACAAATATGCGGCCCAAAAGCAAAAGCAAAACCACAGGCACAACCAAAACTTGTTGGCACAACATTACGAGTATCTGTATCTGTGCCACAGCTGCGCAACTGGAACCGCTGATAAACTCTGGCTCCGCCTTATCGCACCCCCACAACAACAGCCCAGAAGCCACGCTCTTATCTCACGAACCTTGGCCTCTTCAATCTCGAATCTGAATCTTTGTGCGTGAACTGGACCAAGGCACTCGAAACTATTCGACAACGCCTACTCAAACGAAAAAACCGAGGAGAAAACCGATCCGAGAGCCCCGATAAACATCGTTTTGTGTGCGTTATTGAAATTCGAATTTCAAATGAGCCACGCAACAGGGAAAATCTATTTCAGTTTTTTCCAAGCTGCGAAGCGGTGGGAATTTATTTTCTTGATTTTACAAGAGCCGAGCTTTTTGGGTTATGGCATGCACATATCTGAAAACCGTTTGACTTTTGCAGTTAAACTTTCAAATGCAATTAGTTGCGGGCATAAATTACATAGAACCTCGGACTGACCACCGAAAGAGCTGCTATTAAAATGATTGCCAGCGATGTGGATGTGGCGAGGGTGACCCACCTACTACTCCTACAATCAACGAGGCGTGCATGCAACGTAGAAATTGCTGCCTGGCAGCAACATCGGCGGCGGGAGCTACGGCAGCAACACAGCGGCACAAAATTAGCAGCGCGTGCTAAACAATTGCCCCAAGCAACAGTAGCTGCCACACAGAAAAAGGCACATACCCACCCACTCTAACACTAACACACAGCGAGTTTGCATATTGTTTTACCAGCAATATGGCGGCAGCACAGCAGCAACATTGCCGGCACACCAGCAACTAGCAATGGTAATTGCAACAATTTAACGGTCTGTCGCTTGGCTCTGCGCTTAAGTGTACTTCGGTTGCAGTGTCTCCCCGGCGAATCTCTTCTCTTTTTTTGGGCAGCCTACAACTTAATCAAAAACTAATTGCATTTGCATAGGAGGCTGGAGAGTTGCTGCTGCTGCGTAGGCCCCTCCACGGATGTGGTTTTCAACGCTTGGCTGTGTCAACTTTCAATCAAAGTCAACAAAAAAGAAGAAGGCAACCCACTGTGGTTTACTTTAACCAAGCCCAAGTCAGCTTCCTGGCCAGCAACCGCAAAAAGGCAAAAAAAAGCAACTTCTGGCTAGCGGGTGCTGGCCATCTCAGGTGGTCAGGTTGTGCTCTCCGCTCAACCGTGGGAGCCTGGCCATAAAGAGTAAATTAAAAACACACACACATCATACAGTATCCCTCAGATACTCAGATACAGAGATACTCAGCTTCAGATTCCTGGGCATACGCAGCTCACATTCTAATTTATAAGGCGGACGCCCGCGCAGGCTACGCATTTCTCTGGCTGTGGATCTGCATTTCTGCACGAAAGCCAAAGGCTGGACAGGATTGCAGACTGCAGACTCTGCAGACTTTGCAGACTGCGACTGATGGATCACCGTAGATAAGCGAATCTTGCAGATAATCGCATCACTCACTGGGAGTCGTCTCCTTCGGAGCCTGCTCCTCTGGCAGGTTGCAGGCTTTTCGCCCGGAGACATGCAATAATTTTCAAACAGCAGACTCCAACTCGAAGCTCCAACTCCGAGTAACTCCGCCGAGATGATGATGCATGACAGTGACAGTGCGTTGTTGCTTTTGCTGCTGCTGTTGCGTTGATGTTGCTGCTGCTGCGTCTGCTGCTGCTGCTGTTGTGTTGCATGACATTAAGCATGTTGCAAACAGACGCTGCCTCGCCAAACTGACAATGAGTCTTGCTGCAGCGAATTGTGGGTGCCTCGGAAATTAGCCACAATGGCGGAGAGCAACGAAAAGGGTCAGGAAAACAGTACACGGGGAAAAAATAGCATATTTAATTTACTCATATATCTGTGCAAATAAAAATTAAGAGCTTTTTTTAAAATATTTCTAGATTTTACCAAGTTTAAAATGTTTAATATTTCTTTTAATACTTTAAATTCAATATTTTGTAAAACGAACAAGTTTAAAATTAATATCTCAAATTATTCAATATTAATTAAAAGCTAATTTATTTTATTTCGAATATTCTACTAATTTAAGCACTATTAGAATTACGTTTTTCTGATTTTATATAATTCTATTCTTTAAATCATCATAAAACCCTGCACTTAACTACTATTAAATTTTTGTCAAAACTATTTCATATAAATTGTAATATTTATTCAGAACTTAGTATTACATTTAACTAAAAGTGATAAATTAATATCAACTTATTTTCTTTCTCTGCAGCTCGAAACTTATTTTCATGCTTCATCTGCAGCAGCAGGCGGAGAGCGGCAAAATAAGTTAAAAGCAAAAAAAGGAATCTTTACAAGCGCAACGAAAGCTGAAATGAATTACAACTTCTACGGCATTCCCGGGCTTTGTTTAGAGCGAAAAAAATCAATTAAAATTCATAGCTTTTATGCAGTCTTCCATTCGAATTCTGTTATTTATTTATTCTTTTTTTTTGAGGTTGGGGAGCTGCAGCTTCTTCTGCCCAAAAAGAAGGGACAGCAGCTGGCTGAAAATGAAGCTGGCGCCAGTCGAGTTGAGCTGATAAAAATCACGCCGATGCAGCATCAACAAAACTGGCCAAGATTTTCTCTCGGCCTTACCTGTTTATTTTTTGGGTTGTGGAGCAGGGGGTTCAACAGGGGGTTTTTATGTCTAGCCACCGACGCAGTTGCAGGGGCAACGTCAACGGGGCCTCATCATTATCATCATTAAAATGTCAGTTAATAATTTCTACCTACCTCAAAAACCCCTCTGCCCCGCTGAACTTTTTGGAGTAGTTTACGGGCATTCGAAAGGGTCTCTCGTGTTTTTCTTGGCTACCTTGTGGAGTGGAGATGGTGTCTGTGGGTGGCCACCAGCCGCCACCTCCAACCCCTTGACCTTATTTGGGGCATTAACACAAGAGCAAAGAGAGAGAGAGAGAAAGAGAGGAAGATCCTGTCGAGTTCGTTGCTTGAGTCTTTTGTTTTTGGTGGCCGCAGCGGGGGAAATGTGAAAAATGCTCAAATTGCAGTGTGCAATTCGAGTGGCGGCCCAAGCAGGTTGCTACTGCCACTCCGAGTCGCAAGTCGCAAGTCGCAAGTTGCAAGTTGCTAGTTGCTGTTGCACCTGCAGACAATTGCTAATAATTATTTATGCGGCCCAGGGGCAGCTTGCCGGTGCTCCTAGAGCAGAGTGGCTGCCACTTGGCATTGGCTACTGTGCCACTCCCCAGCCCCTTTTTTCTTGGCTCATCAGGCAGTTAATGACCAGTCGACGTGGTCATCGCCGCACTCCCTGGCCAATCCGTAATTATACTAGCCTGTATGTATAGAGAGAGCTGCCTTGGTGTTTTGTTTCTTCTTTTTTTGGTGGGTGGAGTTACACCACCACTCCACTTCTCTCCCCCTTTTAGTTTTAATTTAATAATATTTTGTTACTTTATAGGCCGAAGCGACAAGCTTGTTTACAAGCTCCAAACATGCAACAACTTTAATAGCGAAACAAACGCAGGGAAATCAAAGGAGAAAGAGATAGGCCTCCGCTGAAGCGAACTCCTTAGCACATTGGCAGCACAATGCGGTCGTAAGTTGTGGCATTTTGCGCACTTCCTGTCGCCTGTCGACTAAAGTTCCTTCTGTATCCTTCTCAACGGTATATATATGCATGCATATACGGCTCAGTCAGTTAGCTCCCCCACTTTTGTGAAACTTTTTGCCACACGCACGCATTGCAGTTGTTTTGCATAACGCCTTAAACTGCGCCAAGTCCCATGACTTTCTGATTTTCCCATTTTCCATTTCACTTTGGCCAAACACCCCAACACCCCCAAAAGTAATCCCCACATAGACACATTTAACTTGTTCGCCTTGCATGCGATTAGTTTGGTAATTTGATTGCGCCAGTATCTGTATCTCTCCTTTTGGAGTTAAGTTGTTAAACTTTGTCCTTGCCTTCG